CACACAGCCAATGTAATTCTTGTTTTAAAAAACTACAGAATAATGCAAAACTGATGAAAAATGGATTGAGACTGATACATGTAGCTTTGTTTTCCACTCAAATTCTGGCCGGTCCAATATAGATACAAGAGAAAAGATTTATCAGAGAACTATTTTCAATATATTACTTGCTAATATTTTTAAAAAATACTTAAAATTACACAAAAAATTAAGATTCGTTGGAATTTCATGATCTAAAATTTCTAGTCTATTAGTAACTAGTAACACAGTTGTAAAAATATTTTACAAGAATGCATCATAGCTGCATACAAACAGCAAAAGATTCCCTGTACTTGGTTTTTCTAGAAGAGCAGAAACGGGAACGTAAAATGATCATCCAAATTTTTCATAGTCTGGATTGCTCTAGTAAAAGTAAATACTAAATTTTACAGAACAGAACATGATTTTTATAAATATTTTAAGGTAGAATATCTCATTTGTAAGGAAATAGATGAAAGCATATCCTCGCTATCAAATAAGTGATTTTAGGACTTCTAATTGGCAAAAGGATAAGACACCAGAATGACATCAAGAGTCTAAAGAGCAAGCTTATCTCATTTAACATGTGGTCAATCATAGTTACGCTAAAAAGATGAATGTCCACAGAGCAAATCTATATACTGTCTATCAGTCCAAAGTGGAGAGAACTATATTGCAGGAGCCACCCTGGTTACTAATCTGCTTCCAGATACAATTTAAGATGCTGGTTATCACCTTTAAATACCTACATAGCTTGGGATCAGGCTATTTCAAAGACAGCCTCTTCCCTATTACATCTACTTGACCCAGCAGGACAGGAAGGCAGAATATATTACAGGTGCCATCAATTAGGGATGTACATTTGGAGGGACCACATCATTTTAAAGAGGAAATATAGTAAGATCTTTGCCACTAGAAGGAACTAGATAAATCTGCCTATTTGACCCTGGGAACTTCTAATAGCTAAAATGATCCAATAAAAAAAGTTAAAAAACAATATAGAAACATATGAAAACATGAAAAATGTTTAGAAATCAAATCATTCTATACGACTGATTATCAGTTGCAACAAACATGGAAACTTCCCATGAAGAAGACTAACTTCCAGAATTCTTGGCCAGGATGGCCACTGCTGGCAATTCTGGAACTTGAAATCCACCTCAGTTGCAGGAGACCTGGTTGCGGAAGGCTGATATAAATGAATAGCATAAGAAAAGGTAGTTCTATATAAGTAGTATTGCTTTACTGAAGTAAAAATAAAACCTTGACATTCAAAAAATATATGAGTATACATTTTCTGCATAAGTACTGTGAAGCATGCTGATTAAAATAAATAAAGCACAACTGCATTCCAATATAGCTATATTTCATTTTATTGATAAGGAAAATAAAAGCCCTATCTGTTGATCATTCAGTGCACTGAACTGGATGATATGTCACTCAGAATTTAGTCTTAAAATTATTTCTAGTAGGAATATGAAAAATTAATCCTGGAAACCAAAATTATTATTCTGCCAAATAAAATGTGGTTTCAAAAGTCCTATTATTCAGATGGATTCTGAGAACATCTTACTCTGTCAAAATTAATCTCTCTTAAATAATCAGACGAATCTCAACAAGTTTAACAAAGTTGACTCTAATCTTTTCTATTATACTTCATTTAAAATAATTTTCTAACATCTGTAATTATTTATCTGACCCAGCACTTAAAATACTAAAACTACTGTTCTTTTAAATAAATCCTATATATTATTCATAAACATGGTGTTAAAATAAACAAATACACATTGTAAAAGCATACATCCAGTTTTCTATATTACTCTGCCAACTATCAGCATTCTAATTTCATACTGAATAGAAAAAATAAATTAATTCTGATAGTGAAGCTATCAGAATAAAAAGAATATACACAAGACTTAACACTTTCAAGTTTTGGAAGCCTGTTAAAATAATCAGTTTATACCCAGTGGCTTAATACAACTTGGTACAAGAAAAAGATGCAAATTTGCATTTAATAAAACTAAAACTAAGATCTCTGATACCATCGTATTTCCTCAGATAACAGCCACAATCTGAACAGATTTATATGTGGGACTCTTCTTTAGATATCATGCAAACTATAGTTTGATTTTTGTGAAATATTGTATAGGTTCACAATGTTATGCCGTACATATTAGTGCCAAGGGAATGTTCACTACAACAAAGAGGAAATTCAATCTGATTGATACCATTGCTTCAATTCTAAAGCTGCTGAACTGTACTGTATAAGACAATTGCTTTTTTTTAAGTTGTAGTGTTACATTTTGATACCAATCCCAGATTTAAATATTCCAAAGTATATTATCTTTTAAACCACACAACTGAATGTAAAAGACAATCAGGAAGCCAAATGAGAAGACTTCTTTTTTTCATTATCTTCGGGTAGTCACATGGGATAGCACATGAATGCAGATGTGTACTCAACTACATATTTTACAGTTGTTAAGTCAAATATTTAAAGTTTAATCATCAGTTTGTTGACACTCATACAGATTCATTAGCATGCTCCAAATAATACTTCTTGCATTCCCCACCTCCTCCTTTCAAATCATTCCCAAACATTTTTACATCACAAAAATGAAAGTAAGAAATCTCAGAACTATTTTATTTTTACCTGGATGTCCTGCGAAATTTCAGCTGTGGGAGGTGGAGGAGATTCTTCACACACAGCCAGGCTCCGAACTAGCTTTAATTTTGTACTTGACTAAAGAAAAGTATTTATAATTAAAAACTACAGTTCACAGTTATTTTCTTTAGTTATCTTGCGGTCAGCTACAAAACAAAACTGCTTACTTAAGGATGTCAATGACTTTCAACACACAGTAATTTATTATTTGGGGGCAAAAGCATCCCCACCAAAAAGCAAAAAAATAAAACTCTGATGCCCATTTAAGCTTTGAAGTCACCACAATATCAGCAAAAAGCAAACTACAGTTAATGAAAAAAAGAGGGTTGAAGCAAAAAGCAGCACTATTTTCTCTGTCTAGCAACATCAAGCCACCAAAAATATAAAGGCCAAGCAAAAGCAAACAGTTAGGCAAATCATAAATCCAAAAAACAGAAAAATACACTTTGGTTGCCAACAAAAGAAAGAACAAAACTAATTTTCAATAAACAGCCAGGCTTCCATCAAGCATAAAGACTACCTTAGCATGCCAGCACAGCACACATTTCTACTGTACCTTTGACCTTTTTCCTGTCTGTCCAAAAGATTGCGCTGGCCGCTGAATGGTGAGCACAACAGAAGAGAATTTGCATTAAACGTCATATACTGGCTGTGTAAGGGATTTGTTGTGCACAGTAGAACGAAAGCAATTTCATGGTGGCCGTTAGTTACAGGATGATCCATCCCATGAGGAAATGCAAGAACATCCAAGACCTAACTACTGGGATTGGACTTGTGGTATGTGTGTGTGTGTGTGTGTGTGTGTGTCCATCCCACGTTGTCAAATCCTTGGCAACAGTTTTGCCTGGACACTGAAAAATTAGCAGACTTCAGAAACCCTTATGGTTTGTGAGACTGAACATGCACCAGGCACAGAGAAAAGGCTCCTGCTTCTTTACTTGTTCAGTTTTGACAGGTAAGGAGACTGATAAAATAATACGAAATTGAAATTTTAAAATATTTGCTCATCTATGACAACCACCATTGGTAATGTCCAGTTTCTAAATGACAAGGCTGTTCCTTGTCTTTTTTACCTTTTACAACTTTGTGGAAAATAGACACTATTCTTATCTCTTTTCAATATATTATTCAATGATAACCTTCATCTTTAGGGAGTGCTGTTATGTTTATAAGTGTTGAACTAATACATCTTTGGATAGATTAAATTAACTGCTAAGGCTACACCATGAGGAAAAATTAGAGATTTAGAACTGTTCTACTACAGTGTGAAAAATGTCCTGAAGTGTCACATCAAAACTATCATTTTGTGAACTATAAAATTCCTGTCTTCCACTCAATTATAACTTTTCCTGCTCCTAGGGGAAGAGACTGAAGCATTGACTGTAATATTTATAAGCACTTTATAATTGTTGCCCTTCTTACTCAAGAGTGCTTGCAAGGAAAATCATATGGGATCTTTATATATATGCTCTTGAATTCCACAGAAACAATGTGAAATAACACTGTTCCTAGCAGATGCTTAATAAAAATGTGGAAACCCACTCACTTATTCAAGAAAGTGTTAGATCTAGAATGAGAAATTGCTTCAGCCACATTTCCATAGTAGAAAAATTAGGCATGAGTTTCTCCATCTATGTATTCTGATGGATAATCTATAAATATCTGTTAATTCTCCTTCCATGCTTATTGATCCGTTCGCACATAAGAGTTAGTATAACACTAAAGCAGGCTGGTTAATAAGAAATGCTAACCAAAACTCCAAGTAGCCAGCAAGCTTGCCGAGTAATCCTGGGTATTAACCTCTATTTTAGTTCACACAAAGATCACTGAAATAAGAACTAAGAAGTACAGAACATTTTTTCCTGAGTGGGCATGCAATTTTACAGTATACAATAAAGAGAAAAAAATACCAAATGCTTACCTAAGCATAGCATACGTGGTTATAGCTTTTAAAAAACCTTCTCACACACAAGCATGTAGGCAATGAGATCAAAGATATCTGAAGACATTAGAATAATTAAAAGCACTACAAAATTGTTTATGATTCTTATTATGCTAGATAAAAAGAACAGCTTCATAGTTGGGCGGACTATACTTATATTGTGCCACGTCATTCACATCTGCTTTATATAGGATGAACACTGATGGTTTAATACTGGAGTCAGCAACAAATACCCATAAATATTGGATATGCTTCTTGGCATCTCCCAAAGACCCTTTCTCTAATAATTAAATTTTATTCTGTTTTAAAAATTGAACTGAAAACAGATGCATGGCTTTTAGTTGCTCTATCATCCTTCTCTTCCTCTCATTTCAGATGGATCTATTCTCCCAAAAAACTAAGGAAGTAGAAGCATGGTAACAGAAAGCCTGTTTTAATCCAATCACACCAGTTATGGAAACAAGCAAGCAGGCAGTTGCTGGAGAGAAGTACAACAGGCTTAGGTGCTTCAAATGGATAACACACAAGGACTCAGCGGAGTTCTAAATATTCCTTCACCATACTCATATCTGGAGAATTTCTTTGTACTACAGGTAGTCCTCAATTTATGACCACAATTAAGCCCAAAATGTATGTTGCTAAGTGAGAAATTTGTAGTTTTGCTCCATTTTATGACTTTTCTCGTCACATTTGTTAAGTGGATCACTACAGTTCTTAAATTAGTAATACAGTTGTTAAATGAATCTGGTTTTCCCACTGACTATGCTTGTCAGAAGTTCGCAAAAGGGGAATCACATAATCCAGGGATATTGCAACCATCATAAATGTTAGATAGTTATCAAACATCCTAAAGTAAATCCTGTAACCATGGGAGATGCTGCAATAGTCATAAGTGTGAAAAATGGTCATAAGTCACTTTTTTCCAATGCTATTGTAACTTTGAACGGTCATTAAATGAACTGTTGTCAGTCAAGGACTACCTCTACTGTGCTGTACTTAAGCCTGTCAGTCACTGTTTTACTTCAATTTACTCCAATACTTTTTGCTATAGGGCAAATAAAAGGATGATATAAGTTACAAAATAGTGACATTTCTCACAACGATCCTTCTTCTGATTTTACGTTCTTTCTCCTATTTAATTTTTTCATGTTAATCTCTTGCAACTATAGAAGAAAACAAAAAGCAACCCCCTCTCTATTTCTCACACTTTTAACAGTTGACTTGATCTAATGTATTGTTAGTAGGCTCAGTCTGAAAACAGAAGCTGACTTTTTCAGTATGCTTATGATAGAAAACACCTATCCCAAAAAACTTAGCTGAAAACAAAACTTTTTTTTTTTACAGAAGACATGAAAATTATTACAGGAAATCAAGCCAAATACGTTCTCGATCTATGATTATTGGAGCAAACAAAAGCCCCAGTCTCTCTCTCTCTAGGCAGGAGAAGGTGAATGATTGAATTCAGACTGCACTAACCATGTTTCGCACGTCTGGTTTCCTAGCCTGGTCTCCGTATTTCACAATTGCTTTAATGGGCAGCTTTCCTCTGCATTGTTTTTTTTTTAATGTGGCTTATTGAATAAACCACAAATGCCTGGGTCACCACAGTTTACAGAGCATAAACATAGTTTACAAACAACTATTTTAAATCATAGTCATAGTGTGGCTTAAGTTGAATGTATAAATCAGGCCAGTGATCTGCTACAATGGTCATGTTCCTACTGACTAAATCTCTCCCATTACAAGCAGATGAATTTAGCAGTCTCATCGTACTGGTTCCATTTTCAATATTCTTTTGAGCATTCAAACGAGCAAAGTAGCCTGGAGAGACTACAAAAAATCATTTACTCCCTGGGGCAGATCATATCAATTAGATATTAGATAAAAAGCTGAAAATACAAAAATGGTTATTTGATATCCTTCGCGTTAGAGAGGGACTGCAGAATGCAATACAATGCTACTTCCAAATCAATGCAAGTTTTTTAAAAAAACATGTAAAAGCACCAGTATCAATCTAGCAAATTCTGAAAAAAGAAAGAGAAAGATTCATTAGCTCAGGGAACCAAACTCCCTTCAGGAATTCATGCAGGCATCGATATCACACAAAAACATCAACTTGGATACAAAAGGAAAAATTCTGCTGCAACACCAGACATCATTGATGAGGATAAGAAATTTTTTAAAAAACATTAACACTTAGACATTTAGAAAGAAGATCTGTGCCCAGAAGTGGCAGACAGTGTTATGAGTTCAGTAGACTTTTAGGGTTATTTATAATTTATTATTTTTTGAATGAAAGAAAAGTTAAGACTGCAGGCTGAATCACTTCTTCTGGAGCCCATTCGACTCACAGAAATGAGGTTTCCATAGTTTTCTAGAACTAATCTCACAGCTTCTTAATAAGACAAAGCCAATTTCAGGTTTCACCCTTGCTTTTATAAGGCAGTGTTTTTCCATCTTAGCTGCTTTCAGATATGCATATTCAGCACCCAGAGTTCTCAGAAGTGTCCATTTGGATTTCAGAAGTCCCCATCGGGAATGGATCTCATCAAGATACCATCAAAATAGCCATTTAAGTCATGGGGTTGCCTCACCAGAATGATATAGTCAATCACTTGAACACAACACTGTATATCTAGTTCACAATTACTGCAGGAATCAGAATCAAGGTTTCAAAATCAATCCTAAAACTTGCTTTTACTCTGTGTACTTGTTTCCTGGGGAAAGACAGTTTTTACTCATCAAGACAGCAAATAATGCAGCTCCGAAGATAATGGCTCAAAGCAATAACCACTGTCAAAAAATAAATGGAATCAATGAAAATGCATCTTGCCTGACACCGTAGCGCCCATCAGTTATCACAAACTTAAGTGGTCCCTTTTGCCTATAGTTCTGTTAAAAAAAACATTCAGTGTTGACATCATTAAGGAGAAAAATAACTCTATTCCTAAGAATCTTACACATAATGTACCTGCCTCTATGCCCAAAGCAACAAAGGGAACACATTACAGTAACTGTATAAATTATATAAGGAATAGATAGCCTTTTGAAGGAGGAATTAAATTTTTCACTTTGCAAATGATTTTCCCTATCAAATAGGGAATTTTCTATCAACAGAAAACTGAAAAGCAAGAACAATTGCTTCTTTCAGAGCACTTCATATCTCAAGTGAAAGTTACCTCTGAAATAGAGTTTTCCCTAACAAGAATGCTCTATTGTCACATTAGTTAAAAATAGGATTGGGCAAAATAAATATCCAAGTGCCACAGCAATAGAGGTGAAAGGACCAAATAAGATAATCACTTTTCACATTGCTTGCCCTGTACTCGTGTCAGAGGCACTGAGGTATTTTCGGATTGAAAGGATTAGCCGGTGACATCACTGTTGCCCAGGGGAGACCCAGTTGTGGGGCTTCTTTCATGTCCCCAGCAGGAGCTGGAACGAAGGGACGGGAGTTTAACCCTGCTCAGGTCTCGAACATGGGCTTGCTCACTCCATCTCAAAATCCTAACCACGCAAGCCACCCTTGCTCCCACCTTTCACATTAGAAATACCCCGGGCAAGGCATATTTGTTTCTTTATGGCAGTGGTTTCAACATAATCGTTACAAGGCAAATTTATAACTTAATGGTATTTATTGATAACAGATGCTCCACAGTGCCACAAGGCCTTTCTGATTCCAACACTGAAGCTTCTCAAATATAGGCAGTCTTCTCTGAACATTTATTGTTTGTTTGTTTATTTAGGAATGCTTGGGGAAATTGTGTTATAGCCCACCCTAAATAATTTATAAATAATTAAGCTATATTCAACTGTCTTATATGCCAAGTTATACAGTACAATATAGGTACCGCTATTATTATCTCGTTAGAAAAATATTGAAATATTTAAAATCATGAAATAATGTAGAATTCAAACTCATAACTTCTAAAGAAACATATCAAGAGGGATCAAAGAAGACTGCCAATGTTGACTTTATATCATTTAATAATAAGATAGCAGGTGTACATTCTTAGTATTTCCTAGTGTATCTAATGTCAGATAGAAATACAGCATAATTCTATTTATTCAGAAGTCATCTCATAGCTTTAGACGGGATTTTCTTTTTAATAACTATCTCAGGCATGGCACGCATAGTAAGAAACTTTTTAAAAAATGACCTGATTATGTACCAATGTGAATCTAAAGCACCAGTAAAACAGTTTAAGCTAATAAATTTAACTTCTGGAAAAAACAGCTGAATTGATTTATGAAAGATATTATGGACTATTGATAGATGAAGGCATCAAAAATGATGTTGCCTTGGTGACCAACATCTCTATTTTGTTCTCATGCTGAGCTGCAGAGATAATCAAAATCTCTGAAGCAGAAGCTTTGAACTTTTATTAAATTTTATAGGGAGAGAATGGGACAAAATATGAATATAACTGCACTAAAGAAACACTGGAAGCAATTTTAAACTCAGCAATAAATCAGAAACAAGACTATACCACAGCGGTCCCCACCCTCTGAGGCTTGGCAGCCCAGTTGGGGAGGGGGAAGGGGGAACTGGACTGTACGAGCAACAGGTCAAAGTGCATGCACAGCTCGACTTGCACAAGTAGCAGACTGGCATGCATGCACATGCACACATAGCTCAACTGCAAGTTGAACTGTGCATGCACATTGGCCCACTGCTTATGGGAGTCAAACTGTGCGGTGCATATGTGCAAGCCTGCTGCTTGAGTTGAGCTGCAGCCTGTTGCTCATGTGGCCTGGTTGCAACGGTCTAGTAGTGGGTGGCAGCCTGGGGGTTGGGACTCCTGCTATACCAAATACGTGAGTCTTGCTTTGCACCAGTTAATATCAAGGAAAGTTGACACTGTTATAGCTGATCCCTAAGATCAGTAGTCCAGAGATGGGTTGCTCCTGGTTCAGCCCGGATTGGGCGAACCGGTAGTAGTGGTGGCAGGGGTTCCATCCACCTGCCCAGATGTTTCAGCACATGAGCATCGCATGCTCAGGGGAGCGCACCCGAACTGGTAGTAGAAAAATTGGCAACCCACCACTGCAGTAGTCCATTATAGCCAAATACCTAGACACTAACACAATATAATATTGTACTTTGAAAAACTTTGACTACAATTAGCATTGTCCAAACATTTAGACAAATAGGGTGACCTAGTAAATACTTTGTATTATATTTTTACTGCATAAATTACCCATGGCTCTTGTAACTAAGATGTATTTGCAAAGATATATTTTAAAATATTTCAAGGGAACAACTTAGAAAGACACAGACAACTATGCTATGTATATTTACCTAAGAGAAAGCCCTATTGAACAAAGTGCTCTCAATTACCATTGATTACAATTACAATTACATCAATTACAAAGTGCTCTCAATTACC